TTGCTTATTTTATCCCTTATGCAGTCTGCAGTGTCGTATGGCCTCTTAAAAATACTGTACTGAAATGCTTCAAAACAATTATATTTGGCCTGCTGGAAGGATCTTCTAGTCCTTAGATTAGACAAATAGAGGCAGGATTGGCCTGAGCTTCTGGCATTAAGTCCACCACATGGGATTCTGTGGACTTACCCTATACAAACTTCACATATTAGCTAACCACATGCTTTGCACATGTTCCCCTCATCCCCCCCCGACTCACTAGCTCATAACTGACCATCAGACCATAGTGACTTTCTATGTGGGTGGATCAGTTCACTCGACAAGATTTGCAGGAAGATGCCAGAGAGAGAAAGATAAAAAGGTTTCTCTTTCCCATACTTAGTTTGTAGGTGGGTATTTGGTTTGTTACAAGGCAGGGATATCACAGCAGAGTATAGAGTAAAATTACTGGCATACACCAGGCTGACTCAAACAGAAGAAGCACCAAGAACCTTATTAAAAGGGAATAAATCAACAAACAAGTGTGCTGAGATGACTTGTGTGGCCTTGGGATAGGCAGAACTTGCACTGTACATACAGTTGCTACAATCTGACATTCCCTGGATCAAGGAACAACTCCAAAATGGAAAAGAGAACCAAATTCCACTATATTTTTCATAAAAGACTACTTGGCTAGGCACTTTTGAAGCATGAGTATTGCATTTTGCAGTCCAACCAGGTTCCTACAGGACAGTGAGGTGAACAGGGATGGACCTCCACCTGGTGTTTACTAGGCTGCCTGGCAAAGCTAGCTAACAACTTCTGTTGGAACTGCTCCACTTTCTGCACAGAATTTTTCACAGGTCCAAAACAGCTCATTGTCTTACCCATCTCTAACAAGCAGACACAACCAACTATTCTGCTACTTGATGTGAACCCCTTCTTCTTTGGCAAACTTTTACTTGGACCAATATGCCACATAAGGAAAGAATCAGAGAGTCATTCATCAACCCAACAGGTCTTAATACTGTCTGCATTTTAAGTGCTCAAGTCTCACTGTAAATTAGCTGAAGGACATTTAAGTGTCCTTATGAATGTTCTTCATATCTTCATTTAACATTGTGGCATGCATCAACTTTATAATCTGCTGTAATGAAATTTAATTTTTTTTTAAATTGCCATTTAAAAAAATATGTAAAAAACCAGTAACTCCAATACACAGCTTAAGATGTCTCTATTCAGTCTATACATCACAGAAGTACAGCTATTTAAACATCCACTAGCTCTGTCAGAGTCTCAGATAGACTAATTCCTTCTGTACTTGCAACATGCACTGGGTATCCCAGGTTCAATAGCTGGATTTTACTGTTATTCAGTGCTGGAAAGCCCAGTTTATGGCAGTAGGTGGCACATAAAGGTTTTCAGCTTAACCATTAACAGGTCCTTCCACAGCACAATACTCAGATCCTATGTCCCCTCCTTTCCAAGTTTCTTTGCTGTCAAGAGCATAATGCTACCAGTGCCAACAGTTTACCATTATTCTAAATATACCATGTCCTAACATTCTTTATACACCTCCACCTATTTACACCTGCCAACATCTATGCACAAGCTTAGAGTACCATCACCTATTGCCCATGTTGATTTTGACCTCAGAGGATTAGTTTTCCCATATTCTCTCACATAGAGTTATCAAGCTCATACTCAGTACAAATATTTGGTTGAGAAAGAAAAGCATTTCAGACGAGTGGAATTGGCCATGCTATGAGGAGTATGTGATGCAGAATGACAGGTGGCTGCTTACAGTCTAGTGTTATCTATAGTTAAAAAAAAGAAATTATCAGACACCTGATCAGAGAAAGTGGGGCCTTTAAGAACAAAAAGGCAGAAACAAAGCCTCCACACTTCACCCCCAGGCATTCTCCCTCACCATCCTCAACTTCCATTTAGTGCAACAGCTCTGATTGTTCAACAGTCTGAGTGCACACAAACCAGAAAGTCCTTAATATGTCCAAGCAAAATTCAAGAGCTACAGAAGGACACGGCATGCTTGGCAGGAAAGCTAAGAAATGATCTGAGAACACATTACTGGCTAGTGTAATGCAGGGTTCACTAGACACCATCATGAGGGGAGGCGTAACAAAGACTCCAAACAAGCACCTTTACTCTCATTAGATTTGCTGAAAAGTAAGGTATAACTACCCTTGGGGATGTCTAATCCACTCAATGGCTGCACTTCTCCCATTACTCAGTAACCCGAAAGGAAGCACACATCTGGTCTTAAATGACAGGGATATTTAATTCTTACTTCTCTGTAGAAGTACAGATAGCACCTGACACAACTTAAAAAGTCAACCATAGCCCCTCTCCACTACCCAAATACAATGGTCAGGCACTTGCTGAAACTAAAAATACAAAATGGTGACTATTACATACATCTCATCAAAACATATAAATACCTGATGGAAGGAAATATGGCAGATGGAATTAGCCTCTTCTCAGCAGTACCCAGTGACAGGATGAGAAGCAGCGGGCATAAACAGAAATGTAGGAAATGACATTGAGAGTGGTCAAGCCATAGAAGAGGTTACCCAAACAGGTTATAGAGTCTCCAGCCTTAGAGATATTCAAAACCTGACTAGACACTGCAGAGGACTACACGAGATGATGTCCCGAGATGCCTTCCAACCCCAGCTATACTATGATTCTGTGAACTCTGCAAGACAGGGGATGGGAAATGCAGAAAATAAGCAGAGGCCCAGCTAAAGAGCAAGAGCAATTATATTACAAGGATGTAGTTCAGCTGTGGTCAAACACAAGTTTTCCCTCTTGCTGCTAATACCCTCCCTGTGCTGGCACACAACATTCCCTGCTCCCAACACACCATTTTGCCTTTCCCCGAGTCACATACTGATCAACCATTCCCATGTGCAAGGCACCTGGTTGGACACAGGGGAACACTGATTAAACAACAGCTGAAACAAAGCCAAACTGTTCCAGGCTGTAAGTCAAAATTCTCAAATCAAGCAAACCTAGTGTAATGTTACCTTGTACTATTTCAGAGCTCTTTCACATATTCACTTAATAGCACAGTATAGTATATGACACAGATGGTGATATTCCTACAGTAGGAGCCAATAGTTTTAGCAAGTCCCTCCATAAACTGTAAAGGTCCAATCAGACCACAGCAGTCTGTCACATCTCCAAAACATGAGCTAAGTTTCCAGCACCTGAAGGTGCTGGGTCAAGTTTTGCAGCAGTAAAGTCTGTATCATAAATATATGTGGGAATGAGAAAAGTAGGCTTACAGCAGCCAGCAGCAGAAAGATGACAGAGATATGACTCCAAGTTAAGCCACTGTTCCAAAGATTGACTGCACCTATATTCATACCACCTTTCATTTTTAGTGAAATTTCATTACCTCTAGCTTCTCTATTTTTACAAAAAAGTTAGTATCTAAATTTATTTTACTTACTGTGCATAGTATTTTATCCATTTGGTTTTAATAATTCAATAGTCAACTACAAGAAGTTATGGAGAAGAAAAGTCAGATGATGGAGGTTCCTTGGATGGCTTACAGAGCCTCAGAGTACCAGCTTGGTCACTGCTAATAGCTTGTTGGATGACTAACACAGGTTTTCTCTGCCAAGTAGAAACAGGCTCTACAGAGTAGACATTCATCTCTTTCCTTGGATTTACTCAAAGCCAAATAATAAAGACAACCTTCACTAAAAAGACCTACTTTCAAAGCTGGGACGATCCCTGAGCAAGTCTCTCCCCTTTGTAAAGAACAGGCCAAAGCCCCTTCTCTAAGCTGTAGTAGGGCCTGTATAAAGGACTGTTCAATTAATATAGAAAGAAGCATCACCTATTCTTGGGTGAAGGAAAAATCAGAAGTCTTTTTTTTTTTTTTTGACATTCTGAGCAGCAGATATAGGACAATACACAATGCTATTTCTAACCACAGCTATTGCCTGTCAGTGTCTTACAGGACAGGACACATCCCCCAACTACTTTAATGTGCAAGAAGTGATTTTTAGCAGCGATTTTTAACCTTCAATACAGATTTAGTCATGCAGTGTACTCATTCTTCAGGGCATGTCTGAGATCTTTACACTACTGGTCTATTCTTATAGGGCCCTCAGTCAAGACCATTTTTTCCTCACCCCTCTCAGCTTTCTTTGACTAATCAGTGCAAAGCATAACTTCAACTTAGAGCTAGTGTTGAACAAAAAACATGGTCCATTCTTACATTTTCATTTCCTTCTGTTCCCTTCACACAAAAATAAGTGGCAACAGACTTCAAAATCCTCCTTTCTGAGGGTAGCAGATGCTGAATCCTGTCTTAAGTGGGAGACAGGTAATTATAACCCAGAGTATAGTCCAATTTTAGCTGAAGCAGTAAACACATTTACTTCTTGTACTCTGCTTTTTAGGAACTCTTATAACTCAAAGCTTATTGTTTTTACAGTTGAAAGGCTCAACTTCTTTAAAAAGAGACCAGCTGATTCTGCTCCAAAAGAGGACACATTTCCACCGTTATGCCTTTTTGTGTCAGTCAGTACATTAAACGTGACTGTTTTCTCTCTCTCTGAAAGCACATGGGGAGGTAGACAGAAGAAGGAAGTGAAACGAAAAAAGAAAACAGTAATCTTAAATTTCTGCTGTGTGATTAAGTTTATTTCAGAGGCTGAACAAGGTGGAAACAAAAATTGTAACCAGAATTTTAAACAAATAGTGCTTTCACTTACTGCAAACAATAGCTAAGGATGATAACAGAAATAATACTTTTTTAACAGAACAGAAAAAAAAAGCATGGGCTTACTATTCAACACAAGAATTTACTCTGAGCATCTTACTTGTATTTTATAGATCTGTGTTTTCTCTTTCCTGTAGATACAGTCAAGTTTTCTCATTAGATTTTCCCATCAGAAAAATAATTGGTACTGAAGCATTACAGAGCAATGAGCTAAACTGAGGTCAATTCTCCCCACCATCTTCTTCCTCCAAAGCCATAATAATCACCATTTTCTCTTTTTATTGTCCTCTTTGACCTTCCAAAGCATTAGTTCCATACAAGCAATTGCATCTTCCCTGGAATTATGACCACAAACTAGAAGAGAACAAAAAAAAATTAGAAGTATTAGATTATGTATTTCTTTATAAAAGAATGGTAGCTTTGTTTATTAAGTTGAACAATTGTTGAGAATATTAAGACAGTACTTGGTATTCAGACAGTTTTTGGTGCAACCTCTTGCTACCAGGATTCAAGGTAATAACAACATGCTTCTAGCAGTCCAGTACTGTCTGGCAATATTCAGTTTCCCACTGCATCCACCAGCTTCAATATCCAACAGAGCCTGGATTAGTAGCCTAGAGTATCCAACATAGGTTGGTTTTCTAAAGACAGTTAAGTCATGTACTTTCAAATCAGAAGTTGAAATACTAACAGATGACAAGCTGGTTTTGCAACTAGATGGTAAGTTTCTACCTTGGTTAATTAAGGGCAATCTACTTGTCCTGATGTACTGAAATGCTCCACAAAATCTGAATAGAATGGAGTTAAAGGATTTAAGTTATATACAGTTATACATTTTTATTACGTTTGGTCAAAGCTTAAAAAGTCAATAACTTAAATTTACATATGTTTTATACAATTCCCATAACTACAAAAAGTATAGTAGAAAGGTTTTAATGCATTCTGGCTGGAAAATAGTAGTAGTCATTCAAACAAAAAATGGATACAATCCTCTTATTAGTTGGCACTTAACATAGGCATCAGAATACCCTTCCTAACATTAAATCAATACAAGAAAATGGTGGCTGCCAGGACAACAGTAGTTAACTACTGAAAGTTCTGAGCCCTCCCTACTGAAAGCTAAAGCTGCATGTTGGGGGTCTCCTAGCAACTTTAGGACAGGTAGAGAATAGACCTACTATATTTGGCCATCATCTTCATAAACAGAAATTTGACACAGCGTCAAATTGTCTCATTGGCTGATTTGACTATGTGTACCTCATTAAGTCCTATGTGAGCTGATCAAGGGAAATCTAAATCCTGTATGGTTTAAGTTATGTTAAACAAAGATACCATTTTGAGTATAGAAGTTTTAATAAAGGTACAGAACATCCAAGATAAACACGTTTGGGACTGGGGCTGGTTATTTAGAAATGAAAAAAGTTGTGGAAGAAAAATCTGAGATCATACAGACCAGCATTTTCATTTGAAGGTAACAAAAACCCCTCCCCACTGTTGCTGAGCTAGTGACTCAAAAGAAAAAGGTATTGCTTCTTTGCACTATAGCACTGCACTACTGCACAGATTCCACATCTACTGATTCCGCAACTGCTTTGGGCAGGGGAGAACACCACAATACAGTAAGCTGATATCAGGGAGAAAATAGTTTTCTTAGACTTAATTGAGATGTTCCATTCCACAAAGAAGCAGAGGAATTAAGTGCTTTCACAACAAAAGTTGACTCAATAGTCAAAAGTACAAGCCTCTAGCTTTCTCTTGTAAAACTTCAGTGCCAGTGATTTGAGATCATTTTTCACATGTAGCAGCCTAGACTGAGAAAAAAAGATCTTAAGGCATTTACAGACATGCAGCTGCAATTCAGATATCTACTGGCTTAAAGCAGTGCAGAATCTCCTTGAATGTGGAAGTGGTTATACTTCCCTCTCGGTGAACACATAATTTACACAGTCATGGTGATCACCTGCAACAGCATTAGTGTGCTACATTAATGCTTTCACCAGCATATTTTATAAGAACCACTCCTGCAATACCTATCTAGATTGGACATACAAAGAGTCATGAAAGCTAATGCAGGAGACTCATAGCTTTTATCTGTAGCAGAGAAGTTTATACCACTTAGTAACTTCTCCTATTCACAGAATCAGAAGACAGCTGGTAATAACCTTGCAAGTTTTAGTTTTCTCCTCTCCTAAATGCACCTTAAGAAATAACACAGAACAGTTGCCAATAATCAAATAGAAAAAATTTTGTCATTTGGATAAGAAAACAGGTGATCCTGTGAGTTTCCCTTCCATCCTTACTATCTCAGAGAAAGTTTCAATTTGCATTTGCTTTCCACCACAGTGTTGTGCATCAGACTGTCAGAGCAAAGGAAGTCAGAGGATATTATAAGCTTTGAGATGCAGCATCCAGCTACTCCACTGGGTATCAAAGGCCATCAAGTTTTGCTCAGTGTGACCATTTATGTATTCCCTAGGCAATGAAGATATGTTAGCAGAATAGAATGTTGTTGTCCAGAAGGCTTCACTGATAAAATCAAATAAGAATCTGTCAATTTATTAGAAAAAAGTATTATCTAAGATAAGATTAAAAATAATTTAGAATGGCACAGTCAATGCAAAACATATCTGTCAAATACAATGTTTCATAACTATTATATGCACACTGTAGAACAGATTTATTGATTTCTCTTTGACAGCCAACTCCTGTATCAGCTTGGATAAGCAAGTGAATCTTGAAATAGGTGTTAGCCTCATCACATTATCTTCAGAATTTTAAGAATGCCCCTTCTACAAGGGAGAGAAACTGGAACACTTGTATGGTGAACACTTTGACAAGCCAACTGTACTGGGGAGAATGAGTGAGAGGCTGTGTGATGCTTAGCTGCCATCTGGGGTTAAAGCACAACACCAATCATCTTACGCTTCATGTATATCCTCTGCTTTTACCATACTATTGAAGTAAAAGTATCCAAGACAAAGATTTAAATGACAGCAAGTATAGTACTACCTTTTCAGTTTTCTGGGTTATTCCTGTCTCCCATTTCATGATGTAATATACCGATTGCTTAATAAGAACCTCCACTCTTACCGTCATCTTGACGAATTTTCCTGAGGTAGTCAGCCACCAGACTTGTAAGTTGTCTTTTGTGAGGCAAACCTTGCCAATGAGGAAACACCACTGAAGTGTCCACTACTCTGTCATGAATTAGCTGGAAAAGAGCAGAGGCCACAGTAATAACTACACATCCAGTTAGTCTTGCACTTCCTTTATTTATTAAAGAAATCCTATCTGGCATCTAAACCATTTCCTTTCTCAATAATATGCCCAAACTAATCCCTGAGCTCCAGATACTACATCATCTGCCCTCTGTTCCTCTATTCATTATAGAATGGCAAACTGTGGGGCAAGAACTGTGGAAAAATTGTGTTTTACAGTGATTTCTGTACACTCCATTGACATTTATTCACTAGTTGTAAATATACAGTGAACATGATTAATTCTGGTTTTAGACAGCCAATACCATACTGCAAAGTCTCATTTGCTTTGGTCTTTAGATATCACTAGCAAGGAAGCCTATGAAGGCTAAATTTTAATTCCTTCATTACTAATAATCACAGAATGGTTAAGGTTGGAAGGGACCTCTGGAAGTCATCTTGTCCAAACCCACTGCTCAAGCAGGGCCACCTAGAGCTGGTTGCCCAGAATCATGTCCAGATGGCTTTTGAGCATCTCCAAGGTAGAAGACTCCACAGCCTCTTGGGACAACCTGTGCCAGTGCTTGGTCACCCTCACAGTGAAAAGGTGTTTCCTGACGTTCATAGGGAACCTCCAGTGTTTCAGTCTGTGCCCATTGCCTCTTGCCCTGGCACTGGGCACCACTGGAAAGAGCCTGGCTCATTCTTGTTCACACACTCCATTCAGGTAATTTATACACATTGGTAAGAGCCTTCCTGAGCAGATGGTTATGTTTCTTATGGAATATTGCTGCCTTTGATATTTAATAGCATAATCCATTCATTTCTGGTACCTAAGGTAATTACCTGACAGGCAGCATAATTGTTTACAGAGATTCTAAGAGCAATACCTTAGTATTATTTGAATTGTCACTGCCATTTATGCACTTGCCAGCATGAGTTCAGCAAGATCAGAAATCATGCAATTCTAGATTTCTGTGAACCCATAAATAAAGGCAATGTTATTCAGTGGTGATGTATGGCTGCATACTTAGAAGCATAAAACAGCAAACTAGGAAGCCCAAATGTTAACATCTTTACCATACTGTGTTTGTATACACATCTCTTCCTTCTCTGAATGTAATATTATCTTTAATACAGCTATCATTTAGCAATCAAGTATATTTCATTCTTTTTTTCATACATGTTGATCTGCCAAAATGCAACATTCTTTTGCTTTTTAAAATCAATTAGAACACATTAAAGACAAGTAGTCACCTCTTAGAATTGGCTTAAACCAGGTTGTTTTACCTTGAGAGCAAATAAGCCATCTTCCAAGCTGTGTCCTATTAAAATTGTATCTGCACTGAACAAGTTTAGCAGTATTGCCTGTACACCCCGAAGAGATGTTGTGGTATTCTTCAGATCATTCTCTGTTACTCCAGAGAGTCTAAAGACAGATTTAGAAGAGCTTCATTAACAGAGACACTAAAAAATATCTAGAAGAACTAGGTTTATGGTAGTCATCCCCCCAGCATCTAAAGTTAACACTAGCCTTTTGAAATCACACAATGTTGAAGACAACATAAGGCATTTTTCATTCTCTTCCTTTTCACCTAGGTAGCATAAGGTAATCTAAGCTACGTGATATTAACTCAGCTCTACCACTATAAGTGAGCCTGTTTTTTAAGCATAGACCAAAGACAGGGCTCTGTCTTGCAGACAACAACGTTGCAGCAAACAAATGTTGCTGCTGAAGAAGTAGGAGCACTTTATGTTGGTGCTCCCACTTTTTTTACAGTGATGCTCGAAACCTGTTTCTTCTCAGAGCAGTTGCAGGACTTCAAAGAACTAACAGGAATCAAAAACATGTCTTCCAGGTCTCAATGACAAAACCCAATAGAAAGATCAAATACAAGTCATCTGCACTAAATACAGCCAAATCTTGTTAAGCTGTACAGTCTGATGGCCTCAGTGCATGGCTTATGGCTATACTGCTTTTCTGTGAGATGACATTTACAGATTAAATTTGCATTTGCCTCTATCCCCTTTGGGAATTTAGTAAGTTCTGAGAGGTTTATCTTAATTTTTTTTTTTGAAGGAAGAGGAGAAAGAGTCTTCAAATACAGAAAAAAAAAAAATTTGAACAAAAAGAGGCAAAACCAAAAATCCTACTTAATTGAGCCTGTAAGAACCAAAGCCTCATTCCTGATTGAAGGTCTTTGCTTTATGTTACTAGAAATACACATTTGAGAGACATATTTTTTTCTTATATAGTTATCTGCCAATTTATAGACTAATTAGCATACCTTTTATCGTAGTCTACAATTTTACCATCTGGTTTAACAAATGTATCATATACAACCTGTAGCTTAGCGTTGACCACTGCCACTCTAATTAGTTCCAAGCCATGGGTTGTGTAACACTGAAGAAAAGTAAATTTAATGAGCATTTACACAGCAATGTTTCCCCACGTTATGTAAGTTGTACAGAAAGCAGAACTGGCTACCAACTCAACAGTTCCAAACAATTTTGCTCAATGCACACTCAACACTAAAGGTCTAGTTACATAGAGTTACTAGTCAGACTGAAGGTCTAGTCATGTAGAGTGACTAGTCAGAGTTCTGCAGACCTCTCAGAAAGAGGGTGCCAAACTACTACAGTTAGGAAATTGCTTCATAAACAATATAGTTCTCTATTATCTGAACCAAATTTTTTAGGTTGCTCATACCGTCTCGCAGTCTAGAGCATATACACCATAGTTTCCATCAACAGGTGGCGATTTAATTAATGTCTTCATGAAGCCTTCCAATTTCTTCTTTTTCCCATCATGAACATGAAGCTGCAAAGTTTCCATTAGTATTTAAGTGCAAGTTTACTAGATATATCTTACCCAAATTACCAGACAATTTGTTTCTCTAACAGACTTAGGAGCATATATATACTTCCTGTCAATATTTGCCACATAATTTACTAAACACTTGTAAGTAAACCTAAAAGACTTCTACCAAACCATTCACAGAAAGCTATGACTCAACTTTAAATCAAAAGGACACAGAAAGCAAAACTGAGATACTGCATTATATAAACCTTCTGAAAACATTTTTCCTACCTTTGCAATCTGACATCCATCAGACCCAACTGCTCTATCACAGCAGCTATAGCGTTTTTCCATGCCACCAGGAACTGCCAAGAAGAAAAGTTGAAAATTGAGCAGCTTTTCCAGCAACTAGCAATGGCAAAACCAAATCAGTACACTCTTCTTCTCAGATTTCTCTTCCATTTTCTCCTGAGACTCCACTTTGGAAAGAGGCAAGTCCCACCTATGCCAAGATGACAAGCTACATCATTCCCTCCTGAGACAAGGTTTTCCATCAAAAAAAAGAAATACCAATGAATGGGAGAGAGAAAGTTGTAGTATGCTTTAGAAGGTTTTCCCCGAGGGAATTTTTTAATGTAGCATCTGAGTATTTAACATGTGTCTCAAAAGATTACAAGGTTCACTTAGAAGTCAGTGCAAGGCCACACAATTAACATTTTTCTACTGTCTTCCCACATAGTTTTATTAACATCAGTGTATTGGTTTTGTGTGGCAAGGTTTTGGTAGCAGGGGGGGTTACAGGGGTGGCTTCTGTAAGAAGCTGCTGGAAGCCTCCCCTGTGTTCGAGAGAGCCCATTCCAGCCGGCTCTAAGACAGACCCGCCGCCGGCCAAGGCCAAGGCAATCAGCGACAGTGGTAACGCCTCTGGGATAACATTTTTAAGAAGGAAAAAAGGTTGGGACAGTGAGACACAGCTGCCGGAGAGAGGAGTGAGAACATGTAAGAGAAACAAGCCTGCAGACACCAAGGTCAGTGAAGAAGGAGGGGGAGGAGATGCTCCAGGCGCTGGAGCAGACAGAGATTCCCCTGCAGCCCATGGTGAAGACCATGGTGAGGCAGGCTGTCCACCTGCAGTCCATGGAGGTCCACGGTGGAGCAGATATCCACCTGCAGCCCGGGGAGGACCCCACGCTGGAGCAGGTGGGTTCCCGAAGGAGGCTGTGACCCCATGGGAAGCCCGCGCTGGAGCAGGCTCCTGGCAGGACCTGCGGATCTGTGGAGAGAGGAGCCCACGGAGCAGGTTTTCTGGCAGAACTTGTGACCCCGTGGGGGACCCACGCTGGAGCAGTGTGCTCCTGAAGGACTGCACACCGTGGAAAGGACCCATGCTGGAGCAGTTCGTGAAGAACTGCAGCCCGTGGGAATGGCCCACGTTGGAGAAGTTCGTGGAGGACTGTCTCCTGTGGGAGGGACCCCACGCTGGAGCAGGGGAAGAGTGTGATGAGCCCTCACCCTGAGGAGGTGAAGCAGCAGAAAATAACGTGTGATGACCGTAAACCCCATCCCTGTCCCCCTGTGCCGCTGGGGGGGGCTTGGTGGAGAAATCCGGGAGTGAAGTTGTGCCCGGGAAGAAGGGAGGGGTGGAGGGAAGGTGTTCTGAGATTTCGTTTTATTTCTCATTACCCTACTCTGGTTGATTTGTAATAAATTGAGTTAATTTTCCCAAACTGAGTCTGTTTTGCCCGTGACAGTAATTGGTGAATGATCTCTCCTGTCCTTATCTCGACCCGCAAGCTTTTTGTTATATTTTTCTCTCCCCTGTCCAGCTGAGGATGGGGGAGTGATAGAACGGCTTTGGTGGGCAGCTGGTGTCCAGCCAGGATCAACCCATCACAATCAGCTTTCCTACATTTATGGCATATTCATAGAACACAGGCTTTACTAACTAGCCACATTCCCCAAAGAACAGCAGAATGTATCTCAGCTGAACCTTGTACAAAAAAGTTTCATACTCTGATCTTGTTCGGTTTTGACATGACATGTTCTAACTTTTAACAGCTTCCACAAAGACTGAATGCCAAGGATACCTACCTTTTTGTTCCAATACTCTACCAGAATGATAGCTGCATTCTTCTTTACGTCTATGTTCTCCTGAAGCAGTAACAGCATATACTTCACCACACCTACAGCACAACCTTTTGAAAGCTGAAAAAAAGCAATGAACAAAGCATATTTCCTAGCTGGCTTGCCATAAAGTCAAAAAATGCTGAACTGAAGTATAAAAAAAGTTACATGAACAGTAATTGCAAGAGCAGAGTATCAATAGATAAGCAGCCTCCCAAGATTAGCCATGTGTAAAAAAAACCCGAACAAGTTCCTCTGTAGCACAATAAGAAATTCAAGTTTACCTGCAACTTCTTCCATTACTATGTTGAACCAAAAATTAAAAAAGACCTATGAAGCTGCATTATTTAGTTATGAATTTAGCTGTGAATTCACTCGTAGTCCAGGCACTAAATACAGAACACTGACGTAATGTATAATTTTATACCTGTGTATTTTACTGTCCTGTGAACTACTGACTGAAATTCAATTTTGTTGCAGTCTAGTAAGCACTTACCATCATATACAGTATTTCTTAGAACCCCACTAAGTATAGCATGGCCATTTTTTTCAGGATTTGGTCGAGGGAAGTTATTTTCCTTCAGTTGTTCCTCAGTCAGAAGATAATTTGTTAAAAGTTCATATAAAGCATTGCCTGTAAATGCTAAAACAAAACACAACCAAAAACCTAAAAGTAAACAAACTCAAAGCTTAAGCAATATTAGAACAAATATAAGCAGCACTTAAATATCCTAGTACTTCCAAAATAAAACAAAACTGAAATTACAAGATGTGCATTATAGTTTACATACAAAAACTATATGCTTGTACCTCAGAGCAATTAGGAGTTAGAGGTGAAGCATTATTCAAAACAAAGACACTAAACAATAGGGATGTTAACTCAGTAGCTATCCCAAAAAGGCTAGGCAATGAGCCTTCATATATAAACAGGGAATTGTGTTGGAAACCCTTGCAGTGGCTAATAGGTAAAGCTTGACCAAAACCAGAGCAACATTTTCATGCTAAAATAAGCCCTTTTATAGGCTAAAATTGAGAACTGACATCCCCCTTCCCCCTTCCTTACCTTTCTCGTCCTCTGACTTCATGGATCCAGCACCACTGGAAGATCTGCTGTTACAAAGTTGCCCTGAATGCAGGAAAACAGATTTTTAGCATTTCTTCTCAATTTTAGATTTCCTGTTAATATCCTAAGCAAATATTTATAAATCAAACCACCAATTTCATGATATATTTCTACAAAAGGATTTAAATATGCAGAAATATCTTCAGTAAAGTTAAACTAAATAATCCTCTTAGGACATTTCTCTGTTGTTCTGATTTCTACATTTACAACCCGTTTAAAAAAAAATCTTCACTGAAATCAAAACTACCATGATCCCTCAGCTTCTTGAGAGTCTTCACAGCAAGATTCAGGTACATTTTTTTACTGCCACAACGATCATAAACAGATTGCTCTTCTTTCATGGCCTATATTTAAAAAAAAAGAAAGGAGACTGAGTGTTAGTGGAGTACTGTATGTTCTACAAAAAGCACTGCCATTTAGAATCTGAGATTCTGAACCTAGAGGAAGATACACATGCAGGCAGTGCCCTATATCTGATGTGCAACAGGAGACACGAGGTCAGATGGATGAGACATCTAAAAAGACAAATTCAGTACTTATGAAGCAAAGATCTGTGGGGGAAATCAGTGGTCCATCTCCGAATTTAAATCTAATCCTTGTGGGAATTTGAACACTCTTAGAGTAACCATTCTGGTGCCTACAGACAGCTTTTTCTAATCCTGCTTCAAAGGAAGCGTTATTACTTTTTTAGGCCAAGAAATTTTTCCTTAATTTTCTTTCTGTAAAGTCATAAGAAACTGAGGTGAAAGGAAGGTCTAGCACCTTTTACCTATGAAAAAACAGACATGAAACAACAACTATGTTCATTAATTTCCTAGGGGAACTAAAATGCTTCTTCACTGGTCTTATTTCACTGTTTACACTATCTGCACAGTCAAAGGAGAAGCTTATTTCAGGCATAAACACTTCTTAACAATCACTACAGCAAATACAATTCACAAGTTACAACCTCTAAGCAGAGGAAAAGAGAAAGTGGAAAACTGATGAAGCTGAGAAATAACACAGGAGGAAGTTAAAGGGAAGGTAAAAGAAACATTACTCAGTGAGAAGAAATCAGGGATACTAAGGTAGGCTGCATAATATAAAGAACACATAGTAAATGGCAGAGTAGTAACATCTGATGTTTTACAAGCTTTCATTCAACATATAATTAAATACACATACAGAGTCTTATCAGGACACCTCCATAAATTCTTTTGATTTCCAGCATGCAAGAAATTTAGATCACCTAAAGGTTAAGCTCAGGATATTTACGCCTGTCAGACTATATCTGTTGGCTATAAGCTTGAGTAGCACTTGGTGTGGTGTAAACAGTAAATACAAGATCAAAGGCTCAAAATAATTGAGAGATTTATGGTTGTTCTTCAGACATGTTTTCCTCCTGTTCTGAATAGATCTCATTATTACATTCTATTCTTCCTGAATAGAAGTCAGTATTACATGCCAGGAAGCTTCCAGTATTCACAAGAAGATTTTTATTTTGCATTTGCAAAAGAAAAACTTTCCCTTTTTAATATTAAAATAACATGTCTTTTTGGAAGCTGATTGGCAGTGCTGAAGACAAAAGTTTTCACCCAGAAAAAACTGAAACTGATTGATAACGCTGGCAAGTATAACATCAAGTACATTTTAACTTCCGCTTACTGAAAAGTCTGAAATATTTGCCTTAAAAATAATTAAATAACAAAACCCACTGACACATTGTGCAAGATAAGACCTACCAACTTAATTTGGAAGAGGAATTGAAAGATCCATAAAACATTACAAACCTTGTTAAAAGCCTCATTCATTGAGCTACAAGATTTGAAGCATTCTGAAAAGAAAACCTTGACATATCGCTGTCTTGTCTGTAGTGTTACTTTGACTCTTGATTGTGGGACAGAAGACCTTTGCCAACTAGGAACCTTAAAAAAAAAACAGAAAACAAAAAACCCCATACTAATGGGGTCAATATGTAACAAATAGCCCAAAGAACTAAAACCAGTTCAGACATTCTTTTGCCCAACCTCAAAAAAAAAAAAAAAAATCAAGCATTGCTGAATACCTATCCAGAAAACTGGAATTACACATGGCAGGGAGCCAGAAAAAACCTTCAGAAATAGTAGCTATAGAGGTTTTTCCCTGCTTGAACTAAACTAAATCTTCTGCTCAAAATTTTGTGAGGTATTAAAACTAATTTTAAACTTCTTTTTTCTTAGAGAAAGTTCAGTCCTCCAGCAAGCACCAGCAGTTCAGTTATGATTTAAGTCACACTCTTCATCTGGCCTTTATTTCAGGCAGCACTTCTCTCAAAGCATAAACTAAGGACTCAGTGAACTAGACTGAAAAACATGAGTTTATTTTTAGGAACTTAGAGTCTTTGTTAGACAACACAATGCAGAGTTTTTGCTTATCACAATATGCTTATTTTAAAATAAAGCACAGAATTTAAAATCATCACATTCAAAAATCTGACAGTAAGTTAGATTAACCATGCCACCATCACACCCCAAAAGGTCTGAACACTTACAAAGATGCAGTGTGTATCAAACAAGGAGTAATCTGTCTATACCACATTTATTCACTAATGAAGATCCTTTAAGAGCAGCATTTAAATGTGTGTGCTACTACCAAGGAGAGAGTAATTTCTGCATAAAGGGAACAAAGGCAATGTGTATCATTGTCACAATCTAGTCTCATCATTACTGAGGCCTGCAGTATTCTGCTTAGGAAACAAGAAGATACATACTGGAGATAGGAAGCACAAAGTAATCTGTACTTAATATACTAGAAAAATGTCAATAACCAAACTGACCAAAGCCGTAACATTTGACATTTTTAATTAGAAAGCTAAACTCTGATCTTGTAATTTATCTGACCCCAGGAATCTTCAGTGACCTCTGCTTTAAAAGCAAAGGTAGAGTTATTTTTCTGAGAAGAGAACCTTACGATACTCTGCCACTGAAAATTACAAAGCAAGGTTGGTACTAACAAACCAAAATATGCCTGCATTAACTTTTTGACAAGTTCCTTGAAAGCCCTTTAATTTATAAGGGTACGTCTCACGAAGTCAAATAAAGCCTTTCATCACATATCATCTGCCACTATACATGGCAGGAAGTTTTAAGGAAAAATAACCAACATGCAAGCACGACTTGACTGAAAACAAACTAGTACTTAATTCTCCCATCACAACCACTTTGATTAACAATTTATATATTTAATTGCTTACATTTGTGTAGTGCTGGCTAGTACAACCAAGGAAAATGAAAATAGAATTTGCATAGCAACTCGATTGAAGCACACAGGAAACAAAGTAATTTTTTTAAAAAGCTATAGTAGTATATCACATTACCAGGTCTACATTGTAAAATACTGTTTGAAATCAATTGCATTTTTTTCCACTTCTGTTCCCATTCATATATCCAAGTTCTGCAGCAGTAACTCTACAGTACCTTGCATGATACAGGAATAGTCCTTTTGACTGAACCACCAGAACCTCTGCAGCGCACTGCTGTTGCAACTTTTCGTGCTGGTGGTACACACAGTTGACCCCTGCTGGCTGCAGTGGGCTGAACCTCAAACAAATTTGAAGAGGCTGAAACACACAGAAGATACAGACTGAATCTAAAAATCTAATGGTAAGTTTTATTATTTAAATTACATTAATCTGGAAAACAGGTATTTCACAGCTCCTTTGTTAAAGCAGGGTAATAGTAAACGAATGCATGGAAGCAAACCTGGAATTTCAGGAAACACATTAAGACTTCACTTCTGGCAATAGATTTTAATGCTAAGTGTTCTCCAGTATTCTTGAGAACATGCATCAGTTTGAAGACATTAGAATAAAGCAGCCACACAAGTCAAGTTAAAAGACACTTTCAAGTTATAATGACTATGATTTTTAAACACCTACTTGCCTGCCTTCCCTGTTCCTTTCCCTTCCCCTACAAAAAGCATGATAGCAAGAAAAAAAGAAAAAAAAAATCAGGAAAACCACCATTCTAGCCTCATTTTCCAATGCAATCAGTAAGTGCCCTGAAGTATTCCTTTGCCTTTTCAAAGTCAGGAAAGCTACAGATCTCAGAAATAAAAATTTGTCATGAGATTCTTGAACCATTCTGCTTAACTTTACTTGCATCAGTACCTATTATGCAGCAAGACACATATGTACAGCATGAGATACACTAATCTATTTGTTATTCAGAAAGAAAGCATACACTGGCAGAATGACTCAATTTTATGTGAAGATGTTTTACAGCATCTGTAATAAAAACACATGAATTAAACTAGGCAGCGGTATTTTATTAAATTTAGTTGCTAGGCAGGTTACCTTGTAAGCATACATTTAAAGTGACAGAACAACTGGAGGGGAAACACTAACTAGTATCAAATGCTGAAAATAACTTCTACTCCAGTTTTCCACACATGAAAGACAATTTAAAGGGAGAAGAACATATGACTTTCAAATCACAAGATTCAGAAAATTGTTTCAGAATGTCTGAATGCATCAGACTAGAAAACTAACAGTTGATATCAGTTCTAAAACAAAACTCACCAGATTTCTTTTTTTATTCTTTCAACTCACGTATCAGAAGACTCTCAACAAAACAAATGTTTTTCAGGATTTTAGTCAAAACTGTACATGTTCAAAGAACTTAGCACAAAGTACTTGTTCCCTTTCCACTATAGCTACCAAGACTTCAGTTATAACCTTGTAGTTGGATAAGGCATCTGTCTGCACAAGCTAAGTGCTCACCATCATTCAACTCACAGCTAACATACACCACAACAAAAATGAACACATTCAAGTGATGCCTAACTGAAGCAAAATGAAGTTTAGTTTGTCAAACCTACAGATCAATCTGTCATACCTGTTGGTCCAGTGCTTGGAAATTGAGTAGCTGACAATCTAGACTTAGTTTTCTTCTGTTCGGAAGTTGTAGCAATAGAAGCTCGACTCCTTGTAGCTTTAGCTGCAGACTTCACTGTCTCCCAGTGGGCCTGATGAATTTCTGCATCATGACCCTGCTTCCAATGAGAAGTGTTGAACGGTGTCATTCCTTTTTTTTTAGGTACCTGATATGCATGTACACAAAACGGAGTTAACATTCAAGCAGTTCTAAATCACAGCAAGATGGTGTTAACGTTAACACACTGCTTCTTAAAACTGAATTTTGCTATCAGATTCAGAGCTCAGCATGCTGTCCCTGGAAGGAAAACACAGAGTTAAAAGAGCTCAGAGGTCGTGGAGGGGGCTTAAAGAATTATGCCTATTAACATTGCCACCGAAAGCACTGTAAAAGCAGAGAAAGCCACAGCCACTCTGCGTTTCCAAGTGCTGTATCTGTAATCTCATGGTACAAGCCTCTACTCCAAACTTACTTTTCAATACTCACTATCCTCAGCTGCCCTGGGCAACAGCTTACTTCACCTGCATCAGTAACCAACTCTAAATACTACAATATTTGCTACAACTTTTAACAGAAGCATTGATGAGAGTTTTGTTCTAATTTCAAAATATTTTTACAACTAGATTACAAGACTCAGACAACCTGAAGTTCAACATGAGTCTACACGTATTAAGTAAAGCTATGTTCACCTTCAGTTTATTACAAGATTGTAACTCACATCAAATTTTGCCGTGTGTGCAATTCTTCTCTTTTTTGCAGGAACATTTACTTTGGTTTCTAATAAATTAATATGTTCATTTCTTCTATGAGCCTATTAAAAACAGCAACAGACTATTTAGACCAACTGTTATGAAGCTCTAGACTTTAGTAATATCCTCATGACCCATTTATTCCGATGTTTCAGGATATTCAGTCAAAAAACTCACCAGAAAAATTACATTTGCATCAGTATTAGACAGTTATCTTACATTTAGAACAGTTAAGCCACAGTGCTTTGAAGCTGAGGCAGTGGTACTCAAAGTTCCTACACTAGTTTATAAAAAGAACAGGAGACCACTGGCTACACAACCACCTCTCAAATTTTGCTTATTTCAGTAAAAGTAAAAATGGCTACCTCAAGCTAGGGAGCTATTCAGAGCTATTTTCTACTTCAGGAAACATATATTGTCAAACCAGACTAAAACGTCGTTAAGTGTTCCTCATGACTTTGTCTACTGGCATTGAAGGCTCAAATATTTAACCTTTACTAACACACATTTTGGACACAGTATTTGAACTTGACTATATATCACATCCCACCCTCATATGCTCAGAAAAAAAAAAAAACAACCAATCCCTGAAAGGGAAGAAAAATACCTGCTTATCACTGTCCTTTTTTTCCTTTGGTGCTTGTCTTTCGAACTCTTCAAAAATTCTCCGACACTCCTCTAAAGTATTATCATCCATTTCAGAGAGCCCTGTGTCCTCCCTACCGGGTTCCATTTCCTCAACAGATGAGCTCAGCAGAGTTCTTTCACTTTTTTTCTTGTTTAAGTAATAAGTTGGATATGGGTACATGTCTTCTGGGCTGTTATTACTGCAATTTACCTCTATGCTCTGGCTTTCCTCTATATTTATTATTTCTTTATAAGGTCTTCCAGTTGTACTTTCATCTTTCGACAAGTGACCAGTAGACAAGATGGACCGTGTTACTCTTCCACTGCTCACACAGTCTTCATTAATAGTATGCTCCTGAACAAATGCTTCAACCAACATATACGTTTCTGCATTCTGTTGCTTCAGAATTCCCTTCTGCATGTCTGCCTCAACAGAAGCAGCTGAAGATGTATGTTTCTCATCAGTATAAGCAAGGGCATCTCCTTCCTCCAAAACCTTCAATGTATCAGTGTCTACTTCAGGCAAATAAATCTCATTTGCTTTTGGAAAAACATTGCCTGGTATTTCACGCTTATTTAAACCTTTGCTATTCTTCCACAGAGTGAACATTTTCTCTGATTTTTCTTCTGTACACTCAAAAATGTCTGCTATAGTACTAACACATAATTTTTCTTCACGTATTACAGCAGCCAGTTCTCTGTCCCTGTTCCCCTTTGTACGGTTCCTACGTATTTCTGGCTTTTTATTAACAGGTTGTGGTGGCACATCAATGACAAGATCACATTCGTCATCAGATTCTTGAAGTTTTATTTCAATTTGCACTGGGGAAAAGTTTGACCTGTTTGTGTATTCCTGTCTGCTCCTAAACGGAGACATCTTTGAATTCCTTTCCTGATTTTCACATGGAAATACTGCTGTTGGCTGACACTGCTGCTTAGCATTTCCATCCTCATTTGTTACTGAAGAGATAGAGAGACCTGCAAAATAATTTTGTAGAAGATTATATTCACGAACAGTTGCTGGACAACTATAATCAACAATGTATTTTTCCGATTAAAAACCAGTTGTCATTATTTGTATACTAGGAAGCTGAAACCACATGACATACATGTGCTAAAAAATGCACTACAATGGTTTCCTTAGGAGAAAATATCCTACTTTAAGATCATTCTCAAGGGTTAAAGTGTTTGTAATAATTTAATTGGGAAGACTGTACTGTGAGACTTCCTTCTGTTCCTTGATTTCATTCTTGACTCTATCTACTGCTACTTTAATCCTTTTGGGTTTTTGTAAATCAGCTGCCTCTCTTTAAGGAAAAACAACTATGACCTTAAATTAAGGCATCCTAAACTGCAATCTACAGATTTCAGCTGAGGAAAAAAAAATAATCTATTTTATTAATTATGGACAAGACTACAAATCTCATTGTCCCAAATACCCAGTAACTTTTCAAGCCAGGCATATTTATAACTGTGCACAAACTTCAAGCAGCCTTAAAGTCAAATGTTCCAACTGCACATTTAAGCAACTAGCTGCTCTCTTTTTAGCTTTCATAGGCTGTAGACTGCTTACCAAAATTCAGCCTGACACTTTCTCAAGGCACTATCTCCGTCCTCACACGGATATTCTGGCAAATCACAAAAGGTAGTGGTTATTTCGCTCCCCAAATTTCATTAATTCTACACAGACCCTGTCATCCAAGAGACCTATTGGCATCAGTTGTGTATTTCAACAACAATGCTATTTACACTGTCATTTTAAAACACATGTCACCATTTGATTTCAACAGTGATCATATCAGTAACTACAAAACACTTCAGGGAAATAATAGAAAGTCACATTTTGTTAGTGAATGGGATCCTTTCCAGGTTACTCAAAAATAAGTGGTTTTGGCATAAACACAATAACAATACACTAAAACAGGGTGGTACCACAAAGCCTTGCTACCCTGGTTGTGTGTTAACCCTGCCTGGCAGCTGAGCTCCATGCAGCCATTCTCTTCACTTCCCCAGTGGGATGGGGCAGACAAGCTGAAGGGTAAAAGCAAGAAAACTCCTGGGTTGAGAAAAAGACAGCTTAATAAGTAAAGCAAAGCTGTGCACACAAGCAAAGCAAAATAAGGAATTAATGCACTACTTTCCATCAGCAGGCAGATGTTTAGCCACTTACAGGAAAGCAGGGCTCCATCATGCCTATTACTTCAAATGTCTCCCCTTCCTCCTCCTTTCCCCAGCTTTTATTGCCAAGCACAACATCACATGGTTTCAAGTATCCCTTTGGTAAGCCTGGGTCAGCGGCCCCAGCTGTGTCCTTTCCCAACTTCTTGCCCATCCCCAGCCTACTCACTAGCAGGGCAGCATGAGAAAGAGAGAAGCCCTCGAGGCTGTGCAAACACTCTTCAGCAAGAACTAAAACATGGGTGTGTTATCAACATTGTTTTGGTCAGAAATCCAAAGCTTAGCACTGTACAGAGCTAGAATGAAAATTTACTCTACCACAGCCAAAACCAGTACACCTCCACATCAAAGGAATACTCTGTGCTGGTAACTGTTCTTGTCAGAAATACAAATAATCTGAGAGAGGTAATGTCTCTCCACCTTTTATACAGATGAGATACCATTTAGACTATGTAGTAATCCATGTTATAGGATTATTCTTTGACTAACTAGAGCCTGAGTGAACCTTCAGGATTCAAGCTTGCTAGAAATTGCAGAAGCCATTTAATCACAGATGTTTATCACTTGAAAGGAAACACCTATGGACTCAGCCTTCGAAAAGTCACATCATGCTGCACAGCTAGCTACCTACCTACAAAATCAGCAAGCGGAAGTCTGGAAGAAAATGACTCCATGCTGGGGTTTTTTTTGTTCGCCTCCTGCTCCCAGCACTTTTTCCACTCTACAGTTCTTTATGCTTAAGCTCAGAAATCTTTGAGAATGTAATAAAACATTACCATATAGAGATAACTGAAATCCCAGGTACTTATTGTGGAAATGAAAGCTTCTGCTGCACAGAAAGATACTACATGCAGAGGGAGAACCTGCGCTCTGACAGACCTTTTGGCACTCCTGAGCTGTGAGGGCAGAAAGTCAGTAGCATCTGCTTAAAAAACACAGACATGACAGAGTAAGAGATGCTTTGATGGTTCCCTGGATTACACACTTATCAAGCAACTCTTCAAACTATCAACGTAACCCATAGCAAACAATGTGGAAGAGACCAACCCAAGTCCAAGGTAATCAGAATGCAGCTACTCATTTCTAATTATAAGCTTTACAAGTCCAGTTTGGAGGCAGGTTGCTTTTTTTCATGAACATAGGCTATTAGTATTGCTAAATTTTGTGGTTCCCATTTTAAAGGTTTTTTTTAATGCTCTGTTCCTTGCCTCTCACACCCATTTGGCTATATTACCAACAGTTAGAGCACACTACTATTTCTGCTAATGAGATCGAGCTTACAGTTGCCTGAAAACACTCGGTCGTAAGAGGAACATAACAAACATCAAAAAAAGCTAGCTACAAATCTTATTATGCTTAAGAAGAAAGCAGAGCACCATGGGAGATGCATGCTAAAGTTTGAGGAGAAAATGACAGTCATTCACTGAGGCGCAAGCAGGATCTTTGCAGACTGTGCCAATCCCGGGAGGAAAGCAAATGCCTTACAAAGATTAAAAGCAAGTCACGTTACAACTCCTGCTCTTCAGTACAGGGGTTAAAGGTCACGCACCACAAAGGAAAGGCGCTATCAGCCTACCAAGAAAGCAAGAAGTAACCCGCTTTTATTCACCACACAGTGGTTTAAGGAACCCTCCCAAGTCCAGCTTCCCAAACCCTAACCCCGGGCCCAACCCCCAGCTTGTATTTTAATCCTGGTATTGTGACTGCTGTTTGGCAGGGTTGGGGGTGGGTTGGTGTTGGTTTCTTTTTTTCCCCTCCTAAGGGCAAAGGCAGGGCAAGGCCGTAAAGACCTCCCGTCACGTCCTTTCGCTCTCCAGCTCCCACGCACGGCACGACGGCTCTGGAAGAACCGCTGCCACCCTCGGACGGCAGGAGCGAAGCCGCGCCCGCACCGGCGTGCCTTCGAGCACCGGGCTCCGCCGCCTCCGCCCGAGGACGGCACCACCCCCGGAGGGCAGCTCCCTCCCTCGCCAGCGCCGCTGCGGCCCTGCTCCCGCAGCCCCCGCCCCTGAGGAGGGCCGGCGGGAGGGGAGACGGCCCGGACCCTCCTTCCCGCCCTTC